GTGTGTGAGGGAGGGATATTCACAGAGTCCAGCAGAGAGAGATTGCTGTTAGTGGTGCGCGTTCTGTAACTGACACCGCCCTAAGTGTAAGCGTCTTGAACATAATTTGTGTCAAGCAGCTATTTCCCAGCATTGACTATCAATGAACTGTCGATGAAAAAGTGGAACAGACTTGTAACATCCCTTGGCATATTCTTAGGAATGAAGCACATCTGTTTAACAATTTTATGTTCAATTCCAACATATACTTTTGTCAATTTTTTAAAAATTGTGCCTATTTGTATAATTGTTTTATGTTAAATTGTAAATTCAGTGTGCTCATTTATAGAGTGGATTTGTCATCATTTGTCTAAATCACAAACTCATTAAGCTTGCTGACTTACTCGTTTTAGTTTCATTGAATTTGTGCAAATAATCTTGTGCTCAATCATGCAAGAACTTTGTGTTCATTCGTGTACCAAACTTGTGTTCATTTACACAAAAACCTTCTGTTCATTTGAGGAATAAACTTGTGCCCATTTGTGGAAGAAAACATGAACATTTGTTTCGTAGGCATGTGTTCTGACTGCTCCAGATTTGAAACTGCAGCTTTGTGTCTGTGTGCATGTTGGGGTGGGAGAGAGGGACAGAGTTGGGCGAAACCACTGACCTGCTGCTTTCTCCTACATCCTCTTCTAATCCCCAAAGATGATTGTTAGTGTGTTACATAACTGGGGGAGGTGTGTTCCAAGTAAACTGAGCTGGGAGCTGACTGGATGAACTAGGATTTGGGAGAAGATGGTTTTTGGGTGGTAAACTCTGTCTGCCGTTGAAGGCCAAGCAGCATCAGAGGAGCAGGAAGGCTGACGTTTTGGGCCTAGACCCTTTTTCTGAAGAAGGGTTTAGGCCCGAAACGTCAGCCTTCCTGCTCCTCTGATGCTGCTTGGCCTGCTGTGTTCATCCAGCTCTACACCTTGTTATCTCAGATGCTCCAGCATCTGCAGTTCCTACTATCTCTGAAACAATTTTAACCCCACTGCAAAGCCTCTTCTGAGGATGCCTACCCTGAAGAAGTTACCCTCCTCCCTCCGAAACAACCTCAGTGGATCTCTCTCCCACTGCAACTCTCTCGTAATCTCTTCGGCCTTGAAACTGCTCGACCATGTTCTGAAGCAAACCAGGTACTACAGCCACATCACCTTTCTTAGTACCTGCCTACAGAACCAGATCATCCCCAATGGACTACAGTCCACATTTAGGCCTTCCCAATTTAGCCCCAACCGTGACAATGTCTACATTCAGAACATTTTCTGAAGAAGGGTCTAGGCCCGAACCGTCAGCCTTCCTGCTCCTCTGATGCTGCTTGGCCTGCTGTGTTCATCCAGCTCTTCACCTTGTTATCTCTGTCTGCCATTAGTCTCTTGCCATATGGACTGACCAGTGGTGAGTACCTGTGTGTTTCTGTCAAACACCTTTGACCACAAGTCCATCAGCACATAGCAGCCTTGAGGCCCTGCAGGAAAAGGCCAGGGTGGATCCTTTTGGGTTGTTCCCTAAGCATACTGTCCAAGTCATTTGGCAGAATGTCTCATCACTAGGACTTTCCGACAAGCACCAAAACATCGCTGAGATCTTTCTTAGACGTCCGGACCCTGTGCGCCTCCACTCGCTGCCCTTGAAGCAACTGTGGGAGGGACCAGAGACTGTCACACAGCTCCTTCTGGAACATGCCTTTGCAAAGGAAATCTGGAAAAAGATGCAGTGGTTTTTGTTGAGCCTTATCCTGAGCAGCTCAGTGACGCAGGACTCTGTGCTATACCGTCTGTTACCCACAATGCACACTGAGACAAACATCGGCTGCACCTAGAGGACCATCAACTCAGTGAAAGATACTCTTTGGCCTGCCCAAAACTTGTTGGTCTTCCAGAGAAAGAAGCTTACCTCGACCAAGCGTTGCAGATTGACCCAGGTCCGGGATTACGTGCTGAGGGATGTACTAAAGCATCGAGTTGCAGTGGGGAAAGACCTACTGTCTGAGATCTTTCTGCTGAAGTCAAATGGGGGTCCTTTCAGTTATTGGACCCTTTGGATACCTCACATATATGTAAATATAATCTTACACAAGTAAGAGAGGCCCTCAGTTTGTTTACTGCATAGAGTCCAACTGCAATGTTTGTTTTATTTTCTTCACATGCTATTGTACAGAACTGAAAAACTTTAGTGACTATGGATGCATATATATATTATGAATAAAGTATATTTTTGAAATTAAAACAACTCCCCAAGTTACGGGACCCCAAAACTACTCACAATATTCCGAATGCTTTATACAGCCTGAGCAGTACATCCCTGCTCTTGTATTCTAACCCTCTCAAACAAACACAAACATTGCATTTGCCTTCCTAACTGCCAACTGAACCTGTTTTTTTCAACCTGAAGAGTTAGGGCAGCACAGTGGCTGAGGGGTTAGCACTGCTGCCTCACAACACCAGGGACCCAGATTCAATTCCACGCTCGGGTGACCATCTGTGTGGAGTTTGCACGTTCTCCCTGTGTCTCCGTGGGTTTCCTCCCACAGTCCAAAGACCTGCAAGTTAGGGCGGATTGACCGTGCTAAATTGTCCCATAGTGTGCAGGTTAGGGCGGATTGACCGTGCTAAATTGTCCCATAGTGTGCAGGTTAGGGCGGATTGACGTGCTAAATTGTCCCATAGTGTGCAGGTTAGGGCGGATTGACCGTGCTAAATTGTCCCATAGTGTGCAGGTTAGGGTGGGTTGGCTGTGCTAAATTGTCCCATAGTGTCCAGGGATGTGCAGGTTAGGGTGGATTGGCCGTGCTAAATTGTCCCATAGTGTCCAGGGATGTGCAGGGTAGGGTGGATTGGCCGTGCTAAATTGTCCCATAGTGTCCAGGGATGTGCGGGTTAGGGTGGATTGGCCGTGCTAAATTGTCCCATAGTGCCCACGGATGTGTGGGTTAGGGTGGATTGGCAGTGCTAAATTATCCCATAGTGCCCAGGGATGTGCAGGTTAGGGTGGGTTGGCCGTGCTAAATTGTCCCATAGTGTCCAGGGATGTGCAGGTTAGGGTGGATTGGCCGTGCTAAATTGTCCCATAGTGTCCAGGGATGTGCAGGTTAG